TAAGATTTGGTCTGCTTGGTTATTTTTAAAATAAAATTTCAGTTATCTAATATAATGATAAAAACTAATTATATGCATTATCGCTGGTTACATACAGAAAGCCAAAAGAAAATTCCAAAAAGAGCGGCAAGAGAAATTAAAATGTCACTAGTAAGTATAATAAATTTCAATACATTAATGTTATTGTAGTCTAATAATAAAAACTTTAGTTCATACAATAAAAATTAGGGAAATTTACAAATAAGGGCCCTATTTTATAAAATTTTCTATAACTCATGATACAGCAAATGAAATTTAATGATTTTGATACTATTTGATTATCTCATCAAGATGGATCATTGGTACTAAAATTTAAATTACTAGATAACGAGATATTACAATTTAATTAGATTTTAGAAAATGTTGAATAGCTGTAATCCAGTTATTTAAATTTAGCAATTTTAGTACCATCTGATCCGTCTTGACAATATGATTCGAATGGTATCAAAATCATTAAATTTTGTTTATTGTATCATAAGATATAGTAAAATTTTCTAAAATAGGCTCCTTATATATAATTATTTTACTTTTTTGGGCCCTTATTTGTAAATTTCCTAAAAATTAATTCATCATTTTATTCTTCTCAAGACAAATTTTTAGAAACATACAAATTGAATAACTGGAAATAAAAATGTTTAATATTCCAAATATGCCAAAAAGCTGTAGAAAAAAAAAATAGACAAGTATTTTAATGGGATACGTATTATTTCACTGACAATCACTTCACAGACACCTCATTTCACTGACAATTAATTTGCCGACATGTTTATTTCACAGACAATCATTTTACCGACGTTTAGTTCACCGACATGTTCAGTTCACCAACATGTTTATTTCGCCAACAGTTAATTCACAGACAATCATTACACCGACAGGTTAATTCACCGACAATATGTTTCACTGATAATATGTTTCACTGACAATACGTTTCACTGACAAGTTTACAGCTGTTTTCATAAATTCTGGGACACCCTAAAAAAACTTGCCGAAGTCGATAATTTATTGATTTCGGTATGATCAGTATAATAAAATAATAAGAAAAACTATTTTTTGATCATAGTGATAATTTTACGATGTCATAACAATAATGTCAACGATTTTAAAATTTCGTTCGAATGCTTGTCCAACATGTTTGGTACGTTTAGTTTGTACGAGAATTTATGGAAAAAACTGTTCATGTCAACCAATAAACCTTAACAAGAAATGTAAAAAGGAATCGAATATAAACTAGACTTTAATAATAAATATATTACTCGAAAAGGTGCCGCTATTAAAAAGTTAAATATGATCATGAGTTTGTTGACCAGTTATTATTAATATCTGTCGAGAATGCATGAAGAATTATGATAAACTAAATCAAAATAAAAAATTTATGTTTATATATTTTTCGTCTTCGACAAAATAATTAGAAATAAATAATGCTTCCGTTTGAATGAAATGGATCTTACCAAAAGAATAGGAATCGAAATTTAGTTTAGTTTTTTAATACCGAATTTTTCTTCTTCAACAAGAAACAAAAAATAATTAGAAATGAATAAATGTCTTCGTTTGAACGAAATGGATCTTGTCAAAGAATAGGATTTGAAATTTTACACAATTTTTTAAAACAAAATTTCGTCGAAAATAATTAAAAATGAATAAAAGCTTCGTTTGAATGAAATAGAACTTGCCAAAGAATAGTAATTGAAATTTTACACAATTTTTTAAACCCGAATTTTCGTCGAAAAATCGTAAAAATGAATTTTTCCAAAGAATAGGAATTGAAATTTTACATAATTTTTTAAAAATGAGTTTTCGTCGAGAAATGAATAAAGGCTTCATTTGAGCGAAAATGGATCATGCCAAAGAATATTGATTTTAGTCTTACTGCTGTATTGTAATATATATTAGTCACCTAATCTTATTAAATTATGCATCTGATATTATCTGTTACTGAATCTTATTATTCCCGAAATCAATAACTTATCGACTTCGGCAAATTTTTTTAGGGTGTCCCAGAATTTATGAAAACAGCTATAATTAATTTAAAAACCTGAAGAATATTGGCGAAGACCTAACCGGATTATAAATCAAAAAAAAAAAGAAATTATGTTGAGTCAGGAAGAGCTATTTATTTAAAATAGAGTAAATAAAGTAGCGCTAGCGATGACTCAGATTAATATACAATAGCCTATTTGAAGGATACTCGGAAAAAATTAACAGTTCATCAGAAATTACTCAAATAGTCAACAATGATACTCAATTGTATTTAGAAAATAAAGAGTCACGAAATATTTCACAAGATACTGTTAATGTAACTGTTAAAAAAATGTGTAATTTGTTTAATTTGTTTAATGAAGAAAAACTTAAAGGCAAACACTTCTGCGTAGTCTTTGACACATTAGACCAATTTTTAACGAAGAAAAAGCAAAATCCAGATAATATTATCAATTTTTTCTTAAATGATCAATTCAATCCTATAGCTCAAATTATTCTTGCATGTTGTTATCATTATGGTAAATGGGTTGAAAAGGACTTGCGTAAGGCATTCGTTTGTGCACAAAAATCAGCAAATATGGGGAATTTACACGGAATAAATGCAATTGGATATCGTTATCATTATGGAATTGGAGTTGAAAAGGATGAACATAAGGCATTCATTTATTATCAGAAGTCTGCAGAGATGGGGGATGCTTTTGGATTATATCATACTGCAGATTGTTACCATAATGGAATCGGAATGGATGAACAAAAAGCTTTCATTTATTATCAGAAATCTGCAGAGATGGAATACGAAAATGGAATGTTAAGAGTAGCAGAATGTTATCGGAATGGAATTGGAGTAACAAGAAATCTAGATAAAGCCAAATAGGGGGTTGGTTATTATCTCATAATTGTAATAGAAATCATACTTGAACTCTAACGCTAATGTATTTCTCATGATGCTGATCTTTGCTGCGCTGCCCGAAATTTGTGTTGGCAAGTACGTATGTACGTACGTACGTACGGCCATTATTCACATGCTTACTTAGCCGCATTGACTGCTATCAATTCGAATTAATATCTAAATATGGTAAGTTCTGATTACTTAAAAATATCGATTTTCAAATGAACTGCTTTATTTGGTAGTTATTATTTTGTGTGATTTAGCATGATACCATTAATAGCAGGTAATTAAATATGTACCCGAAGAAGAAAAATACAATGGTAATACTTATCTTGGAGTTGCATTAGACTTATATAGGTATGTGAAAATGAAGGGAGATAAATTATAAATTCTATTTGTCACGCAGTAAGATTCTTATATAATTTATCATTAGTGAAGCCTCGAAGGAGGCTTAAAATTTTTTTTACAATTGTACTATTCATAATTATTCACTGTGGTGATGGGAATTCATTCATTTCTAACTTCATATGCCTATTTATGTCTAATGATAAAATACATTCGAATCGATTTTTACATGTGCGACTAATTCAATCCTAAGAAGTTAGAATGAATGAATTCCTGTAACTGCAATGAAGGATTCTGAATAGTATAATTGTAAAAAATTTTTAAGCCTTCTTCGGGACCTCAATTTGTTGCTATACTATTTGTGATCCTTCATTGTAGTGATGGGAATTCAACCATTTTAACTTCTTAGTATTTAATTTCGAATCCCTTTCTTTTTCATATACATGTATAAATTTAATAATAAAATACTCTCAAATTGATTTTTATGCGTGCGACTAATTCAATCCTAAGAAGTTAGAATGAATAAATTCCTATCACCGCAATGAAGAATTCTGAATAGTACAATTGTAAAAAAATTTTTAAGCCTTCTTCGGGACCTCAATTTGTTGCTATACATTTGTGATCCTTCATTGTAGTGATGGGAATTCAACCATTTTAACTTCTTAGTATTTAATTTCAAATTCCTTTCTTTTTCATATACATGTATAAATTTAATAATAAAATACTCTTGAATTGATTTTTATGCATGCGACTAATTCAATCCTAAGAAGTTAGAATGAATGAATTCCTATCACCGCAATGAAGGATTCTGAATAGTATAAGTGTAAAAATTTTTAAGCCTCCTTCAGGATCTCAATTTGTTGCTGCTATACTATTTGTGATCCTTCATTGTAGTGATGGGAATTCAACCATTTTAACTTCTTAGTATTTAATTTCGAATTCCTTTCTTTTTTATATACATGTATAAATCTAATAGTAAAATACTCTCAAATTGATTTTTATGCATGTGACTAATTAAATACTAAGAAGTTAGAATAAATGAATTCCCATCGCCACAATGAAGGATCATGAATAGTATAATTGTAAAAAAAATTTTTAAGCCTTCTTTGGGACCTCAATCTGTTGCTATACTATTCGTGATCCTTCATTGTGGTAATGGAAATTTACTCATTTTAACTTCTTAGTATTTAATTTCGAATCTCCTTCTTTTTCATATGCATATATAAATCTAATAATAAAATACTCTCGAATTGAATTTCACACATGTAACTAATTAAATGCTAAGAAGTTCGAATAAATGAATTCCCATCACCACAATGAAGGATCATAAATAGTATACTTGTAAAATTTTTTTTTAAGCCTCCTTCGGGCCTCAATCTTTTGCTATAATATTCATAAACCTTCATTGTAGTGATGGGAATTCATTTATTTTTAACTTCTTAATATTTAATTTTAAATTTTTTTTTCATATACATATGTAAGATTAATAATAAAATATTCTTGGATTGAATTTTATGCGTAAATGAATTCCCAGCACCACAATGAAGGATTATGAATAGTATAATTGTAAAAAAATTTTAAGCCTTCCTCGGTGCCTTAATCTGTTGCTATATAACTCACTAAAGATAAATTATATAAAGAATCTATTGTGCGAAAATTGAATTTATAATTTATCAATTTTTCACATTGAACTAAGCATATATACATTTAAAATTTTTTCTTATATTTTCTCTTTTTCTTAACATATACTATGGATAACATTTGTGAAATTGTTCCATCTATTCGTGGAATGGATAAAATTAATATTAATGGCTTTCTTATGGTCAAGGATAAGTGCCGTAACAATGCATTCTACTGGTATTGTGAAAATAGAGATGAAATGGGATGCACTGGTCGTGCAGTTACTAGGTTAATTAATAATCAACATTATCTTAAAAGTGCATCAAACCATATTCATGCAGCACAGGCAAGCAGAGCAGAAGTTGTGAAGACAATTGCTAGAATTAAAGAACATGCACGGTTAACTAATAAAAAGCCAACACAACTCTTGCAAACAGCAATCACTAACAGTCCTCATTATGTATATCAGTATCTTCCATCATCCAATGCAATTCGTCAAACAGTTCAGAGAATCTGACATTTAGACATTCCTAAAGAGCCCTCATCCTTAGATAATCTAAATATCCCTGAGCATATGACAAAAACCTTAAATGGGGTAGACTTTTTAATCTGTGATTCTACCTTAGAGCAGGATGGAATGTTAATTTTTACAACATTAGATAATATTCGTCACCTAAACCAATCACCATTTTGGGTGATGGATGGCACTTTTCGAACTGTACCAAATATGTTTAAGCAACTTTACTCTATTCATGGTATTTTTTTAATAGTTTTAATTTTAATATTTTAATATATATATATATATTTATTTATTTATTTATCTTTATTTATATTTTAGGATGTGTAGGTGGAAGTGAAAACTCTAGAATAGTACCCTTAGTTTTTTCTTTGATGACCAGCAAGTCAGAAGAATCTTACAGGCAACTTTTTCAAGAACTTATAGATTTTGGTGAAATGCATGGTATAAATTTAAGTCCTCAAGTTGTCCTAACTGATTTTGAAATGGCTGTTGTAAATTCTGTTCAATCAGAATTTGATAATGTTCTACATAAAGGGTGTCACTTCCACCTCTCTCAATGTATTTACCGTAGAGTCCAATCTCTTGGACTTACTACAAGATATGGTACAGATGAAGATTTTAGCTTATTAATAAGATGTATTTCTGCCCTTGCATTTTTGCCCCCTGAAGAAATACCATCAGCATTTGATGAATTAAAATTACATATTCCACCTGAAGCTAGTCGTATTGTTCAGTGGTTTGAAGAAACATATGTTTATGGTAGAGTTAGACATGTATATAGAAATGGAAATATTAGTAGATCTGAACCACTATTTCCTCCTACCTTTTGGTCAGTAACAAACAACATCGAATCTGCCTATCCCAGAACCCAGAACTCAGTAGAAGGATGGCACAGAAGGTGGGATACATTGGTAGGTTGTGCGCATGCAGGGATTTTCAAAATTATAAAGGAGATTCAAAAGGAGCAGAATAAAGTTGAACATGAAATTGAAGCAGTAATACGGGGTGCTCCAAGGCCACCACAAAGAAGGCATACTATTGAATGTGAATGCCGTATACAAACAGTTTTTAATGATCGGGATAATAGGTCTTTAATGGAATATCTTCGTGGAATTGCCCACAATATCGCTTTTTAAAAATTTATACTTTTTCATTTATTTATTTATTTTTTTTTTTATTCTTTATTTGTTTTTTTATTTTTTATTCGTTTTATATTTTTTTTATTCTTTATTTGTTTTTTTATTTTTTATTCGTTTTATATTTGTTTTTTATCATTTATAAGATTTTACATAAATAAATATTTAGTAATTGTGCTGCTTAAACTAGGTATTTAAAAAATATATATTATAATCCCTGTCGTGCTAAGTGTTACTCGTGACTACCTTAATTATTATTTTTTATACATAATTAATCATATTTATAATAATCATATTGTGACCAGAAATCTTCCTATAATAATAAAAGATTTCTGGTCTCGTATTGATCATTGGGAAACTCTAATTTTTATCGCTTAATTTTTATTCGATTCATTTTCTTTTTTGTATTTTTCATGTTTTATCTAAAGAACTTTAAAAGCCAAAGTAAATAGGTACAGTAAAATGAAGCTAAAAAAAAGGGATAATAAAAGCAATGTGAAATTAAGAGTTTGAAAAAAGTTAAACGTAGAAGTAAAAAGCAAAGGCGATAAAAAGAGTAAAACAAGAAAATGATGTAAATAAAAAAATATATATAAAGCGAAGCCCAAAAGTTAGTAAGATACAATACAAATATAAATATGGAACTAATGGTATGGTAGTCCGAATAACATCTAGTGGCACGCTCCTGGGGATTATTTATTTATTTCCTGTAGTACTAGATAATAAATACTATATATCGGTTTAATTATAACCTTTTTTTAAACTAATAATCATAAATAGTTTTATTTATATAATTTCTTTAATTTGCATAAAAAACAAAATTTAAATTTATAAAACTCCTCTAAATGCAATCTCTAGACCAAAGATATTGCATATTATCGAGTTAGATCTTTGCTAATACTCTTGGTCAAATTTTGTATTTTTTAAAAGTTTTCGATTAGCTATTGTATTTACCACAAGCTATTATACATTACATATTATTATAATATATAGTTTATACACCACATTTTATTTATTAACACTATTATTAGTTATTCTTATATATGGAATCTACGATTTACAGTGTAAAATTACCTTGCACAAAGTACACATGTACAAGTAGACATATGTGCAACTAGTAGTTGGTTCGTGTAACTAAAACCTATGACACAGCTGCATTTTTGCATGTAGGTTTCGATCTGAATTTAGCAAATTTGTCAATTCTGACTCATTTCATCCCAGAATTTGGTCCGTTTGCTAAAGTTTGGTTGCATGACTAATTTATTCGATTGTTAATATAGTCTAAAATATGATAAAAAAATTTTTTGCTGCTCCTTGGGTTATTCTAGCTTGGTAAGATCATAAATTATTCTATGTTCCTATATAATCACATAACGGGTTTTGTGAATTATAATTACTACTTTAATCAGTAAAAAACCAAGTTTTTATAAATGCAAGTTATTTCCCCGGCAATGCTTATTATTTCCCTGAACTTTTAAGAAAATAACAAGCATTTCCAGGAAAATAACTTGTAATGATAATAACTTGGTTTTTTTGTTAATTAATTTAGGATTATGAGTTATAAAACTCCTCCTATAAAACGAAAAATAATACCCTTATTTCGCCACTATAGAGAAATAAATTGGCAGATCTGAGGGCCCTTTGGCCTCATTATGGAAAATAAATAATACCTATCTGCCATTTCTTATTAAGCTAATTATTTGAGTTAATTTAGCCATAAGTATAAATAATTTGTTAAAGCATTCGAAAACAATATAACACTTCTTATTAGGCGATACAAATAAAATAAACTGGTTTACATAATATTCAAAAAATTTTTGGACCCGGCTGCCCGGAAGTTTTTTTTATATATGTAAAATTTTTTATGAGTAATAGCCAAATTGGGTAGGCAACTGCATTGAATATAAGTTCGGAAAATGTAACCCAATACTATTGACAAAATTCCCAATAGTTTCGTATAATGAAGATTTAACAAAATAGATTTGTATAGGTGTTAGAAGTAAAGTAAAAAAATTCTTTTACTTTGAATTTAATGAATAAATATTTGATGCTAAATTTTATAACAAAACAACCGCTGAAGAATTATCTAATATGCAAAATCACTCTAACCCACCTAATACTAACCCTAGCTCTAACCCGATTCTAAAAGCACCTTACCCAATAAATCAATGGCAAAATTTTAAGGAGAATTTACAAATAAAGGCCCGGAATGAAAATAATTACAAATACGGTCCTAAATTAAAAATAATTACAGTTAGAGGCCTAATTTTTAAAAAATATTAAAGGACCCAAATCTATTGATGGTTAAAAAAAACAGATTATTGGATTATCGATTGTTTTATTATAGACATTTATAGTTATCCATATACTGATTATTAGATATTAGGATAAATGAAGTGCTAGTTATAATCATTTTCGCTTAAATATTGTGTTAAACTAGCACAATTACTCATAAGCAAAGTTTAACAAAGTAACTCTAAAGCTGAACGAACGTCTATATTAGCAAATGACATGCCAATTCGCAATGTGAAGATCCGACCTCAGCTAATATCTACTCGTGACGTATTAGTAAATTAAGCATCCGATCTCCGTCGATAAAACTCTTACCCGTGACCAGTGTTTGCAAAATATGGACATGGACAATATGGACCAATGGACATGGACGTTTATGGACTATGTCCATATTGTCTATATTTTTTCATTGGACATAGGGCACTTAGTCCAAATCAAACACGTAAGCTTCTGTTCCAAAATGTTCCAAATTGAAAGAGTAAGGCTGTGGTCAAATTAGAGTTATATTCTGAAATATTCCAAAAATTTCGAAAAAGATGATATGGACATGGACACTATTTGGATTGGTCCATGTCCATACTTGTCCAAGTCCAAATGCAAACACTGCCCGTGACGTAGGAATCTCAGAATCAACTAAAATATTTAACCTCCGATGGCAGCCAAAGGCCGTGGCAACGTAACTCGTGATTCTAAAAGAAGCAACATTTTAAATTGAAGATATAGGAAGTATTGTGTTAGAATTGTTGATACAACTGAACTACTGAAAGATAAATAGACCAAAGAACACTTATATTAACTCTGGTAACCCATAACAAGACCCAAAAGACTTTGTAACATGGACTCTACGCCTCTTTTCAGTCTTCCAACACAAGGTTCCTAGGAGTCTTGGACTACCTTTTGAAGTCTTAAAGTAGTAGATTAGATAGTTTTGGTATTATAGCCTAGTTTTTAGGTTAGTTTTAGCTTTAAAGTAGTTTGTTACACCTTTTCAACTTATAGAATGTGCGCAACAATAAATTACGTGCGACATTAGGATGCGCGTTAATTCGGGCGCTCATGAGTGCTAATTTGAGACCATATAAGTTATTTTTGAATTATTCAATAGGGTGTTCAATAAACTAATTGATCAAACATAGTTAGGGTCATTAAGTTCGGATTTTTTAAAGGGTTATTTCACATATAAATTTATATATGGATTTGTACTAATTTAGGTACATTTTTCTACACAGATAACAGACAAAATTGTATCATATTTTTTTTAAACTGTAGCTCTAGACTAGCTCTACACTGAAATAGAACCAGTTTTTTTAATAACTCTTAATAAATTTTTGTTTTAATTTTTATTATTAACCAATACCGGTTATTAAAAAACCAGTTCTATTTCAGTGTAGAGCTAGTCTAGAGCTACAGTTTAAAAAAATATATGATACAATTTTTTTTGTTAGTTGTGTAGAAAAATGTACCTAAGTTGTACAAATTCATATATAAATTCATATGTGAAAACCCTTTAAAAAATCCGAACTTAATGACCCTAACTATGTTTTGATCAATTAGTTTATTGAACACCCTAAGGATTCAATGTTCAAAATAACGTCCACGAGCGTTTCGTATTATCACTTAAATGCCCACACAAGTGTGGCATAAATTATATTAAAACAATATATTTTGTGTCTATTATGTGATCGCATTTGCCTGAACATTCTAGTTGACGACTATAAAATACCAGATTAAGATAATAACTGTAAACTGCTATATACAAGACCCGACCCCATTAATAGACCCAGGTGTGGATCAAAATCTACCATAGCCAAAACACAATTTTCTTTAAATATCTAGGCTACATTATAAATGTATAAAACGCATGCTTTTTAAAATTTTCCTTCTAACGGTACAATCTTTCCAGCATGTATTAGATCCGGGTCTTGAATTTTAATATTGGTGAAATTATTGAAAACCTATTTGAGCCCAGCAACAGCTCACTTGGAATACAGAGAAATAGGGCATTCAATTCATAGCCACTCAAAAACTTCAAGCATCGAAATAATCCTTCATTCACTGAGTTTTTAATTCGGCTATCATCAAACATCGATATGTTTCTGATATTTTAAAAACTCAATGAAAATTCGAGTTTTTCACTTGAAATTCTAGAGTTTGCAACAAACGATAATTGAAACTCATCGATTCCAAAAAAAGAAAAAAAGCAATCTATAAATAATTTCATTATTCCTTAACGGCTCTAACTTAACTTTTTTTTTTCGTTATAATCAATATTTTCGCTAATACTATTTGTTACTTATTTACTTTATTTTAAATAAATTATTCCGCTTTTCCTAACTCACATAATTTTTTTGTTTTTAATCCGGTTAGGTCTTTCTAATATTCTTCAGGTTATTAAATCAATTAAATTTGTCGGTGAAACGTATTGTCGGTGAAACGTATTGTCAGTGAAACATATTGTCGGTGAATTAACCTGTCGGTGTAATGATAGTCTGTGAATTAACTGTCGGCGAAATAAACTTGTCGGTGAACTAAACATGTCGGTGAACTAAACGTCGGTTAAATGATTGTCTGTGAAATAAACATGTCGGCGAATTAATTGTCGGTGAAACGAGGTGTCTGTGAAGGGATTGTCGGTGAAATGCGCACCACCCTATTATCTTTTAATTATCTAATAGCAATCTAATAAATATAATATTTTAATAATATAA